ACAGTAAGCACACAATTTTGTCAGTCCGGATATTTTACAGTTTTCTTAATGGAGTCACCGGACCATGTTCAAAATACAAGCCTTTTTTCTTGGGAAGAAATCTAAAATTCTTTTTATAACAGATGAGAGCAAACATAAGCAAATAGTTCACCTTTTCAATATGTGACTTCGTTTCAGTCAGTCCATCTTTCTGAAATATTATTTATATTGATGTGTCAAGAACTGAATCCTTGAGTCTCATGGCATCGTTTTTAGCTATCTGTAATAATCCTAGGTAAGCACATATGTGAATTGACAAGCTATTTGAGAAAATTAAAGTTAAGATGTAGACAATCGCTCGGAACATCGGCTTCTCTCACAATATGAAGAAGGGGCTGGAGGGTTGGAAAACCCAGTTAAGGGGAAATTGCATCCTGACCAAACCTGCTAAAGGTTGGTGGCTGATAGCTAACATAGTGATGTTGACGAATAAATGGTGGCGCGGATGTAGCTCAGTGGTGTAGTGGTAGACACGTCCACGGAATGGATGAAACGCAGGTTCGACTCCCGGCTGAGGTCCTATTTTTGCTCACCAATCAATTCTCATAAGAAATTGAATACTCGAAGTACTGGGATTTGTGCACTGAAAAAGTGTGATATGAACCTTGACCAAATAAAGTGATAACAAGCAGAGTGAAATGGAAGTGAATCTCCTAGTACTTCGATTTTGCAGCTATTTTTCCTTCTTTTGTCGGTAAGATATGAACGCACTTTAGTCAAACTCGACCTCTACGACCTAGCACATGGTAATTTGGAGATATACGGTTAAGTACAGCACGAAAAGTATAAAAAATAAGAAAGGCTGATAGGTAAGAAAAATACGAAAAGCAAGGAAAGACAACAAAAAATAACAAGGGAGTAAAGCACAAGCATTACTGATTAGGAAATTCCGGGAGAGAATGATAAATCAGGTCCTTCAATTTTTTTCATGCTCTAAGAACAAAAGGATAAAGCTCTCGCGTTGATCAATCCCTGAGGAATGCGCCATGCATTCGATTTCAATTTTTTTTAACTTCGTTTTGAGGTGATTGAATGCACATCTGGCCTTTACAATGACTCGCGGTGGCCTCCCGCTGAACCGAGTCAGTGCTGCTCATCCTCCCAGACAAGTCTGAGACCTGTCTGGTACCAATTTACCGACCCCGGAGGGATGGATGGCTTGGTGAGCCACATGGCTCACCAAGCCATCCATCCCTCCGGGTCGGTAAATTGGTACCAGACAGGTCTCAGACTTGTCGGGAGGATAAGCAGCACTGACTCGGTTCAGCGGGAGGCCTCCGTGAGTCAATGTAAAGGCCAGATATGCATTCAATCACCTCAAACGAAGTTAAAAATTGAAGTCGAATGCTTGGCGCATCCCTCAGGGAGTGATCAACGCCGAGAGCTTTATCCTTTATCCTTTAAGAAACAAAAGACAAAGAACGTAAAGGTTTCGATTACATTTTCCTTATATCCATTACAATTATCTACTATTCGCATTCTCAAAAAATTTTGGAAGAAACTCAAAAATTAAACAGCGAATTTAGTACATTCCGACACTAAACGCGTTAGATCTGAAACTTCCACTGAATTAACTGAATTTCATATTGATGTGATTTTCAGAATTTTTGTAATACAAGCTTCAGATCTAAGAGCCATTCGCGATAATCTATCTAGAGCGTTTTCATGCGGGAAAATTGCAAAATTCATTATGTTTTGGTTTCGTATTATGATTTTTGTCGTGAAATTGCACGACCTCAGTATCGCTGAAGTGTGTATTTTTTTGCTATCTTTGGTATACAAATTTCCTGTATTTGCATTAAGATGGAGCTCGTACAACGCACCATCATTTTTGTACTCCGCTTTACTAGCATGTCCCCCTATGCGCCATTCGTGCATGAGTAGCAAGCAAACTTTTAGCAAGGGGTGGATGTGGGGGATGGTGCATACATAATCTGATGACAACGGATCTCACCACCATTCCTTGATAGCCATGCTGCCGCGTGGATGTGGGGATGGTATTTAGTCTGATTATCACATAGCTCACCTCCTTTTCCTGCTAGTCACGTGTAGAGAATGGGGCGTAATCATTCTTCAGTACTCACCTCATTGGGCCGGTATAGATAGATAGCTCATTTTGAGGATACACGGATGCATAACTTATTTACTTGTTAGCCTAGTGCCACGCTGATAGTTTCATGTTAACATGAAATTTTCTGGAACACTGGAATTAGGTTCTGTCCTGGGGGGAGGGGGGGATAGGGGATGATACTTTTGCTCTGAGGTCGTAGTTTTTTTTTGGCTGTCGTAATTTTTTCTAGAAGATAGGCTATGTAGTTTTTATTCTGTTCTTCTTGAGCTCTATGTACACGCGTCTGTCGCTCATATACTTTACAATTCTTGGTCGTGACACCATTCAAGAGTCTAGTAAAAAATCTCATTTCAAGATTGTGAGTCTAGAACTTCAAATAGATCCCACGAATGATGTGGAGAGTGTCAGCTCTGGTGAGCCCTAAAGGTTGGAGGAAATTTGAAGCCCCGAAGGTTAGTACATAGTTTGTCGCGACGTGCATTCATTCATTTTAATCTGATAAACAAGGGATAGGATTTCGGTATTTCTTTGGCATCGTCTTGAAACGTGAGTGATTTGAATGCCAGAGTAGAATGGAATGGTTATAAAATGCGTGACGAGTCGAATACCGACATGCTGATGTCTTCTTCATTTCATTCACATGATTCATCGTCTTTCAGGGTGAAGTAGATGTAATTATAACAAAAAAAAAACGCTTAGTGGTCTTACAAATCACTACCTTCTGATAATTGGGATAGGGTAGTATAAACATCTCAGACTAGCTTGCCTGATTATTTTTATGACGCCAGATTACCTGTCGAAATTTTCGGGAAATAGAAGAGATTAGGGGATTATCAACTTCTGTAATAAAATCCTGGTTATAATTCAACCGTGTGAATGTAATCCTGCCGTTATTTTTTCATTACGCATGTATGTATACATATATAAGTGTATCTGTGTATACGTAACATATATAAGTGTATATATGTATACGTATATGTATATAATATATATGTTTATATTGTAACAAAACATCGTATTTGGTATCATCTTATAGTTTTTTTTTCTGCAACTGAAATACGCTCTTCATTTTCTGATTAGATTATTGTCGCTTTTTAGATGGTGCAAGCCGCTTGCGCGTGATCGAAAGTGAGTCAGGCTCTTCGCCTTTGGTACGTTTTGTAGATGAACGTTTTTGCCTACTTTTCAAAAATGTATCAGCTAAATTGATTTTCAAACGCTTATTTCGGGTGTTTGAAAATGCAGGGGGCGATAATGGTATCGCTATTACTCCTGACATCCTATGGACCAATGCACGAATTAGCGAAAGTAGTTTGTCTCCTCCCTCTAACCTAAATATGGATCTCAACGACCTAGTAAGTTTCACTCTACCCGGGAGCGCGTGGTGAACCGTTGCACTATCGTTGTATAGGCGAACTTATGCCAGATACACCATATATACATGTTTATATGCGCATGTATGTATTCTATATACCTCATATATATACATATATATATATATATATTATGTCTATGCACACTCCTATATATGTATTCGGGTGACAACCGTCAAAAAATTAGGCGCCGTTTGGAATGCATTGAGTGTAGTTCGGTCAGATATTTTCAATTTACACGACCTACGCGCCGGTAGGCATGGAAAAACTCATCAGCTGGGCCAATCGGTTGTGAACAACGAGCAGCCCACCAATCTGGAAATAGGTGAGTTCGCTCTAAAACCGTTTTTTTATATGCGAGGATTTTGAATAGGAATTACTTTACTTTAATGATCCGTCTTCACATGTTTTTTCACTGTCCGGATCCCAGTACTTTTAGTATTCAATTCGTTCTTCCCGGAAAGAGTGAGAGCTGGGTTCGAATCCCGACTGACGCAAATGTTTTTGCACAGCACTCCACATTATTGGGTATATTACAAGATCATACCACCGCAATAAGCGGTCAAATAAATGAATTCTGATCAATTCGCTGTCTATGTCTTCTTCTTGAATGTTGTAAAATGCTTTTTGAATCCCTGCAATCTCGATGGTAGCGTTAGCTGTGGCGTTCCACAGGACGTTTGTTGACTGCCGGAGAGAGTTAGGGGTAGAGCTCGGTTCCCACAAGCGCCGCGACCAGCATAACAACCATTCGGCCACGGCGCCCTTTCTTCATATTGTGAGAGAAGCCGATGTTCCGAGCGATTGTCTACATCTTAACTTTAATTTTCTTAAATAGCGTATCAATTCTCATATGTGCTTACCTAGGATTGTTACAGATAGCTAAAAACGATGCTCGAATAAAACTATACGCAGTCACAAGCAATTGATCGCAAGGCTGAGGTGAGATTACTTCTCTCTCAGTTCGATGCAGTTTTGCCCATTTGAATTCCTTGCTGAACATCGCCGACATTGCGGCACTTATTTCTTGCATTGTCATGTGTGGTCTTTGATCGGATTTCAAGATGTTTTGCCTATCTTGATTTGCATATACCCAAGAGAATTGAAAGTGTGAGCAAAAACACGGCCTCAGGAAGGGAATCGAGCCCGCGCTTTATCCAAATCGGGGTAGTGGCTGACAGCTAACATAGAGATGTTAAAGAATGAGTGATAGTGCAAGTGTGCCTAAGTGATGTAGTGGTAGTAGCAAGCGTTCCCAGTATGGATGAAATGCGGGTTCGATTCCAGCCTTAGGCCGTGTTGTTTCCCATCACTCAATTCTTTTAGGTATATACGAGGCATCATAAGACTGCGAAAAATGCAGTAAAAGTACTAGAAATTTCGAGTAATAGTTATTACAATGGCTGTCAGCTCAACTGTGCTTATAAAGCGAAATCGCAAACCCGACCAAACCTGTTTAAGGTTGGTCGCTGATAACTAACATAGAGATGTTGAAGAATCAGTGGTGGTGTAAATGTGCTTCAGTGGTGTAGTGGTAGTAAAACACGTCCCCGGTGTGGATGAAACACGGGTTCGATTTCCGCCTGATGCCGTGTTTTCTCTCACCACTCAATCTCTTACGTATAAACGAGACATCATAACACTGCGAAAAATGCAAAAAAAATACTAGAAATTTCGAGTACTAGTCTTGCTTTGTCGAATATTCTTTGGAGCCTTTGCATAGTGTACTAAGTCCTATTGTCCTCGAATGCTGAATGATTTACGAAAATTTTAATCCTAAGCATAGTTCATTTTGCACACATAGTAGCGGTGTAATGAGAAATTTTCGTAGATCATCCTTTGTCAGTTCACCATGTGCTAGGTCGTCGAGATCGAGTTTGACTAGAGTGCATTCAGATCTTGCCGACAAAACAATGAAAAATAGCAGCGAAATTGAAGCACTGAGCTATCCACTTCCATTTCACTCTGCTTATTATCACTTTATTTGGTCCACATCACACTTTTTCAGTGCAAAATTCCCAGTACTTTGAGTATTCAATTTCTTATGGGAATTAAATGGTGAGCAAAAATAGGACCTCAACCGGAGTCGAACCTCGCGTTTCATCCATTCCGTGGATGTGTGCTACCACTACACCACCGAGGCACATCCGTGCCACCACTTATTCATCAACATCTCTATGTTAGCTACCAGCCACCAACCTTTAACAGGTTTGGTCAGGTATGCGCTTTCCCTTTACTGGGTTTTCCAACCCTCCAGGCAACCGCGCAATGTAGTTCCCACTTGATTGCAAGAGAGTATTCGTTACACAGTCAAACCTGCCCTTTGCTTCCCAATATTCTTCATTACCTACCACTTGGTAACTGCCTTCTGTTTTGAATAGCACCTTCTATATACATGTGATCATATTTAATTTGTATGTGCATGGGTGTTGTTGTAGTACGAGCGCATATTTACAATATATATATATATATATATATATATATAATATAATATAATATAATATAGAATATATATAATATATGTTTATAATATATAATATATAATATGTATAGTAATATATATGATATAATATATATAATACAATATATATAATATATAATATATGTATATATAAAATATAAAAAAATATAAGATTCTATATATATATGTATATATATATATATATATATTATATATATTTGTATATATACTCACGTCAGCAAGACTTTGATAAGATTCTGTGGCAGATGCCAGCATTAATTATTGAGTATTCATCGATTGTTGTAAACATATAAGTGTCGGCTTGAAATGTATTTTTTTTTCTTTTCCTGCAGAAAAGAATTAGTAAAAATTTGCTAATAAATAATGTTGAACAGCCACCACCCTGCAACTATTTCGCTATTACTCTTCACAGATTACATACGGTTATCAGATCGTTTTATCATTTTATGTAAAAACCGTTCTTATCACTAGGTGTAAAAAAGGAGATGACATTCCAACGTTTTTCCATACAAACATAGCTGATTGCGATCCAATGATGGTTTTAGACAAGTTCGGTGCCTTCGAAAGAAAAACAAGCGGGTTCTCCGAAGAAGCCCAACCTCCCCACTGGAAAAACACTGGGAAAGGCATGCTGCTCTTGTTCATCGGTTCGATGTAGCAATTCAGAAGATATAAAGAACAAAACTCTAGATATCGATTATTACTTGAGGGATGTACCATGCAGTCAACTTCAGCGATAATCATATTAGGTGTACAATTATGCCTCGGCTGTTTATTGCTGTACTAATAGTGAAAATTAAGATATGCAAACTTTTTGTTTGAAGGTGCTGTTGTGTTTGCGTGTTTATTCACTGCAACAGCTGTAGCTATACCAGTTGCTTGTAGTACAACAAAATAGTTTATAGTGAATTTTATTGAATATAAAAGGGAGTCAGGGAAGAATTTCAAAAATTGCATTTGCGAAATCTTAAGTGGAATTTGAATGAATAAATTGGTTAATGAACTAGCATCATTGTATGATTCAGTCAGTACTGAGTATGGAAGATTTGTTTCATCATCACGGGAAAATTATTCTCTGCGGTTGGCTTTGGAGATATACGGTTAAGTACAGCACGAAAAGTATGAAAAATAAGAAAGCTGATAGGTAAGAAAAATACGAAAAGCAAGGTAAGACAACAAAAAATAACAAGAGACTAAACCACATGCACTACTGATTAGGAAATTCCGGAGAGAATGATAAATCAGTTCCTTCAATTTTTTTCATGCTCTAAGGAACGAAAGACCCACAACATCAAAGTTTCTATTATAACTTTCCTTCTATCCATTACAATTATCTACTATTCGCATTCTCAAAAAATTTTGGAAGAAACTCAAAAATCAAACAGCGAATTTAGTACCTTCCGACACTAAACGCGTTAGATGTGAACTTCCAGCGAATCAACTAATTTTCGTATTGACGTGATTTTCAGAATTTTTGTGATACAAGCTTGAAATCTAACAGCCATTCGCGAATGATCTATCTAGAGCGTTTTCATGCGGGAAAATTGCAAACTTCATCATATTTGGTTTCGTATTATGATTTTTGTCGTGAAATTGCACGATCCTCAGTATCGCTGAAGTGTGCATTTTCTTGCGATCTTTGGTATTCAAATTTCCTGTATTTGCATTAAGATGGAGCTCGTGCAACGCTCCATCATTTTCTGTACTGCCGCTTTACTAGCATGTTCCCCTATGCGTCATTCGTGCATGATAGCAAGCAAACTTTTAGCAAGAGGTGGATGTGGGGGATGGTGCATACATAATCTGATGACAACGGATCTCACCACCATTCCTTGCTAGTCATCCTGCCGCATGGATGTGGGGGATGCTATTTAGTCTGATTATCACATAGCTCACCTCCTTTTCCTGCTAGTCACGTGCAGAGAATGGGGCGTAATCATTCGTCAGTACTCACCTCATTGGGCCGGTATTGATAGATAGCTCATTTTGAGGATACACGGATATATTAGTTATTTACTTGTTAGCCTACTAGTGCCACGCTGATAGTCTCATGTTAACATGAAGTTTTATGGAACACTGGAATTCGGTTCTGGCCTGGGGGGGAGGGGGAGGGGGGGTGATACTTTCGCTTTGAGGTCGTGGTTTTTTGTTTTCGCTGTCGTAATTTTTTCTAGAGGATAGGTTATGTAGTTTTCATTCTGTTCTTCTTGAGCTCTATGTACACGCGTCTGTCGCTCATATACTTTACAATTCTTGGTCGTGACACCATTCAAGAGTCTAGTAAAAAATCCATCTTTTTTCATCTTTTTCATCTTTCATCTCTCTTTTGTGATGGTGAGCGCATGTGGCGCAGTGGTTAGAGGTGCCCTGCGTTGCACACGAGGTCACTGGTTGGATCTCGCGCTCATGGCTCACCAAGCCATCCATCCCTCCGGGGTCGGTAAATTGGTACCAGACAGGTCTCAGACTTGTCTGGGAGGATGAGCAGCACTGACTCGGTTCAGCGGGAGGCCACCGCGAGTCATTGTAAAGGCCAGATGTGCATTCAATCACCTCAAAACGAAGTTAAAAAAAATTGAAATCGAATGCATGGCGCATTCCTCAGGGATTGATCAACGCCGAGAGCTTTATCCTTTTGTTTCTTAGAGCATGAAAAAAATTGAAGGACCTGATTTATCATTCTCTCCCGGAATTTCCTAATCAGTAATGCTTGTGCTTTACTCCCTTGTTATTTTTTGTTGTCTTTCCTTGCTTTTCGTAATTTTCTTACCTATCAGCCTTTCTTATTTTTTATACTGTTTCGTGCTGTACTTAACCGTATATCTCCAAATTACCATGTGCTAGGTCGTAGAGGTCGAGTTTGACTAAAGTGCGTTCATATCTTACCGACAAAAGAAGGAAAAATAGCTGCAAAATCGAAGTACTAGGAGATTCACTTCCATTTCACTCTGCTTGTTATCACATTATTTGGTCAAGATTCATATCACACTTTTTCAGTGCACAAATCCCAGTACTTCGAGTATTCAATTTCTTATGAGAATTGATTGGTGAGCAAAAATAGGACCTCAGCCGGGAGTCGAACCTGCGTTTCATCCATTCTGTGGACGTGTCTACCACTACACCACTGAGCTACATCCGCGCCAACATTTATTCGTCAACATCACTATGTTAGCTATCAGCCACCAACCTTTAGCAGGTTTGGTCAGGATGCAATTTCCCCTTAACTGGGTTTTCCAACCCTCCAGCCCCTTCTTCATATTGTGAGAGAAGCCGATGTTCCGAGCGATTGTCTACATCTTAACTTTAATTTTCTCAAATAGCTTGTCAATTCACATATGTGCTTACCTAGGATTATTACAGATAGCTAAAAACGATGCCATGAGACTCAAAGATTCAGTTTTTGACACATCAATATAAATTAATATTTCAGAAAGATGGACTGACTGAAACGAAGCACATATTGAAAAGGTGAACTGTTTGCTTATGTTTGCTCTCATCTGTTATAAAAAGAATTTTAGATTTCTTCCCAAGAAAAAAGGCTTGTATTTTGAACATGGTCCGGTGACTCCATTAAAAAAACTGTGAAATATCCGGACTGACAAAATTGTGTGCTTACTGTGGAAGACTCTCTTCGAGTGATATAGAAGTGACTTATCTACAATTTTATCCATATATATATATATATATATATATATATACATATACATATACATATACACATGTCTACACATATATATATAAATATATTATAATAGTATAATAATATATAATATAATATTATAATATAATATTATAATATAATAATATACAATAGTATAATTATAATATGAAAATATAATACAATTACATAATAATAATGTACAATAATATATATATATATATTATATTATATATAATATAATATATGTAATAAATATATATATATATGCATATATATTTATGTACATGCAGGACGCGTAAATAGTTCTGTCAATTTTTTCAAATGTTTCAGTAGCAGAAAATTACCATAAACATTCGTCTCGAGTGTTTTCTCAAGACCGAGCTCAAATTTTAATATGCCTGATAATTTTTTTGTGCCATTCATGTGGTCTGTGATGGGCACTTACACA